AAAGCTGCTTTGCTTTGTTTGCTCAAAGAGTCTTTGAGCACTGAAACGTGTGCTCACACCTGCCAAAGCCAATTTACTCTTTCCGTTGCTAATGTCAGAAACACTCAGCTCACTGATGCTACCTTGGTGCTTTTTCAGTCCAAACAGAAAATACCAGGGGAGGGTATGTGTGCAACAGGTTTGCGCTATACAACAACTCAAGAATCATCAGAACGACCTGCTGATCTCTTCACATTTGCATTGCAAGCAAAGACAATTCTGCACAAAAGCGCCACAAACATGAAGAACATCTCTCAATTCTCTTTCTCTTGAGTTTGGAGTCAGATGGAACAAACTCAAGTCCGCGAAGGACACCGATGCCTCAGCATCACAGCATTCAACCAGCCACGACTTAGACGCATCTCATGAAATGGTTTCATTCTTGCGCAAGCCGGAATGAACGCGCAACACTTGTACACAAAAGCGTGAAAATCCGAGGGCTGACGATGGTCTGTCTCTGCAAGGTGTCAAGTGGATCTGGGAATGCTCGCAAAAGCAAACAAGTTCAGCAGGGTATTTGCACTTCAGAATTCCAGCAAAGGTGATGGGATGTCAATAATGCGACTGGTAGACTAGAATGCATTTCTCTTTGGAATCAACAAAGGCCGAACAAACGATGAACACAACCAATGTTTTGTGTTTTGGCTGTTCACCGCAAGGCTGCTTTGCTCAATTGGACCAAAGAGTCTTTGAGCACTGAAACATGTGCTCACACTTGCCAAAGCCAACTCACTCATTCCAAAAAATGTGTTGAAACAAACGCGTGTGAGATTGTCTCTGCTCCGTGGAACAATGGAAAAGAAGTGCTGAAGTGGCACAAGTTCGCCTTGTGCCAAACCACTTTGCTGGTCAAGAATCAAAATGCGCGCGGAAGTAATTGGGACGTTGAATGTAAAGGACGAAGCGTGCGAGCTTCGATGGCTGCTAACTGCTATTCACACCACTGCGCTGCAACACTTTGCCAAAGAACCCTGTGTAGTTTCATTTCCGCGTCTCCTGTCCAAGCCCGTTGCTGATGTCAGGCACACTCATTTCGCTGATGGTACCTTGGTGCTTTTTCAGTCCAAACAGAAAATACCAGGGGAGGGTATCTGTGCAACAGGTTTGCGCTATACAACAACTCAAGAATCATCAAAACGACCTGCTGATTTCTTTACTTTTGCATTGCAAGCAAAGACAATTCTGCACAAAAGCGCCACAAACATGAAGAACATCTCTCGATTCTCTTTCTCTTGAGTTTGGAGTCAGATGGAACAAACTCAAGTCCGCGAAGGACACCGATGCCTCAGCATCACAGCATTGAACCAGCCACGACTTAGACGCATCTCATGAAATGGTTTCATTCTTGCGCAAGCCGGAATGAACGCACAACACTTGTACATAAAAGCGTGAAAGTCCAAGGGCTGACCATAGGCTCTTCAAGGTGTCAAGGCATCTGGGAATGCTGCAAAGCCAGCAAGTTCAGCAGGGCGCTCGCACTTCAGAATTCCAGCAAAGGTGATGGTATGTTAAAAATGCGACGAGGGACCAGCAAGCGCTTCTCTTTCGATTCAAAAAATTGCCGAATCAAAAAAAGGCCGAACCAACAATGAACAAAACTATATAATGTTTTGTCATTTGGTCCTTCACAGGACAGCAGCTTGGCTGAAGTGGATGTTGTTGGCGCGCCCAATAGCAAGGATTCCTTCAACGTCCCTCTTTTTGCGTCACGTGAATTGAATGAAAGGAAAGCTTCTGTCAGAACGACCTGCTGATCAGCACTAGCAGAACGATCCTCTGGTCTATTCGCGCGCTGCACAAAGGCTACACAAGCAAGAAGAACCTCTCAGTTTGGAGTGAACTGCAAAAAGCTCAAGTCCGCAAAGGACACTGATGTGTGAGCATCACGACATTGAACCAGCAATGACTTCGAGTGTCCTGAATAGTTTCATTCTCCCGCAACCCATAATGAACGCACAACACTTGTACATAAAAGCGTGAAAATCCGAGGGCTGACCATAGTCTCTGCAAGGTGTCAAGTGGATCTGGGAATGCTCGCAAAAGCGCACAAGTTCAGCAGGCTACTCGCAGTTCAGAATTCCAGCAAAGGTGATGACTAGAAAACTTTAAGCTTTTCCCTGTGAAACCAACAAAGGCCAAACAAAACCCATGTTTTGTGCTTTGGCTGTTCACAGCAAGACTGCATTGCTTAATTGGGTCAAAGAGTTTTTGAGCACCGAAACGTGTGCTCACACTTGCCAAAGCCAATTCAACTCTTTCCGCTGCTCCATTCCCCTGGCTGAGAGTCCAAGCCCGTTGCTGCATTGTCAGGAACACTCAGTTCGCGCATGCTACCTTCGTGTCTTTGCAGTCCAAACAGAAATACTAGGGGGTGGTATCTGTGCAACAAGTCTGTGCTATTCACAAAAACCTCAGAACTATCAGAACGACCTGCTGCTCTCTTTACGCTTCAAGCAAAGACAATTCTGCACAGAGGCTCCGCAATCATGAAGAGCATCTCTCGATTCTCTTGAGTTTGAAGTCAATTTAACAAACTCAAGTCCTCGAAGAACACTGATGCGTCAGCATCACGAAATTGAACCGGCCATGACTTCGAGTTTCACGAAATTGCCTCATTCTTCCACAAACCGGAAGAAACTCATGGCGCTTGCAAATACAAACATGAAAATCCGAACGTTGACAAAGGTCTCTGCAAGGTGTCAAGTGGATCTGGGAATGCTCGCAAAAGCGCACAAGTTCAGCAGGCTACTCGCACTTCAGAATTCCAGCAAAGATGATGGGATGTCAAAAATGCGACTGGTAGACTAGAAAACTTTAAGCTTTTCTCTGTCGAATTCACAAAAGGCAAAACCAATTGTCTTTCGGCTGTTCACAGCAAAGCTGCTTTGCTCAATTGGGTCAAAGAGTCTTTGAGCACTGAAACTTGGCTCACACCAAGGCCAATTCACTCTTTCCAAAAAAGTAGTTGGGACGTTGAATGTAAAGGACGAAGCGTGCGAGCTTCGATGGCTGCTAACTGCTATTCACACCACTGCGCTGCAAAACTTTGCCAAAGATTCCTGTGTAGTTCCATTTCCGTGTCTCCTGTCCGAGGCCGTTGCTATACTGTCAGGAACACTCAGTTCGCTGATGCTACCTTCGTGTGTTTGCAGTCCAGCCAGAAAATACCAGGGGAAGGTATCTGTGCAACAGGTTTGTGCTATACAAAAAACACGTGTTCCCTTGCAAGCCACGTGGCTTCCGTGCTGTTCCCCCACTGGAGATCTCGCGCCAAGATCGATGGATTAAGATCGATGGTTTGAATGGTTTGGGTCGGTTCTGCTGTTGGTTCAGAATGGAAAAGAGCTTGTTAGGAGGCTACTGGTCTTTCCTGACCATCCTCCAGGTCGGTCTTATCCTCTGATAAGCCAGGCTGCTGATCTCTTTACGCTTCAAGCGTAGACAATTCTGCGCAAAGGCCGAACGGAACAAAACACGCGTTTTCTGCTTTGGCTGTTCACTCTGTGCTCAATTTGGATCCAAACACCTGTGGGCACGGCACAGGAGCGTATCTGTGCGAAAGGTTCGCGTGCATCAAAGAGGGGCACGTGTTCACACGAATTACCATTGGCCTCAGCTCATCAACAAAAGTGGCAGGTGGCAAACTCTTGATGACAAACGACCTCTGTGCAACTGAATATTTTTCCTCTTGGGCCCGGACACACTTCCGTGCCCTGCAACTGCAGCTGAAGCCCGCAATTTCCGATGCGTCTGGATAGAATCTGCAGCGCTTTTTTTGGGTGTGCCCACCTCTCAAACGGCGTTGATTCAGAAAAAATATCTGTTATTCGCCCAACAAGTTGTACTTGGAAGAGCGCTGATCCAAACAAACACAAAGGATTCAATTACTTTCCTGCGAACTACCCTAAACCAACAAGGTTTGTCCCAATGTGTTCTTCTACAACATTCGTTTGTCGTGGTGCGCTGCCACTATGTTTGATGGAATGTCGAGTGTTGTGTCCGGTGTTGCGTGCGATTGTGTGTGTGTGGCTTTGTCCATTGCCCTCTATCGGTTTTGTCACCGTGTGTTCTTCGGTGTTATTATTGGTAGTGCAACAATGCGGCAATGCGTGTCATTGTTTGTTGCCTTCTTGTCGCGTTTGTCATTGCGTGCTGTCAACTGCTCTGTTGGTGTTGTTATCATTTTCGCGTGACTGCTTGTTGTCTGCTGTCGGGTCGGGCTACCGGCCATTTGTTGAGCTGTGTTGTGATGTCTGCTGTCACGTTTGTCATCGGCCATGGGTTCTGCTCTACAATCTAGCATAGCAAGGTTTGCCTCAAGTTTCCATTTGTTGTAATCAAACCGGCTCAATCAAGGACCTGCCTATCAGTGAAGGCGTCAACCTCGCTCTCAGGTGGTCGATGAGACAAAGCAGCTGACCACATGGCGCTGTTTTTGGAGACAATGCTTGAAACTTGTTCCACAAACGTAATAGCCCTCCCGCGTTTGGCTGCGTTGCGTCCACGGTTTCATCTTGCGCCCTGCTGGAAACTACATCAGACAATTGTGTTTAGTTCAATTTTCGCAGCAAACACTTACTAGTGCAAGGGCAATGTCAATTCACTACGGTAGGTCGGCAACTCTGATGTGAATGCTCAATTAAAGCACGAATGGCTCAGTGAATTCATTGCCCAGCTCTAGTATCTTCCAAATGCCTTCAACAGTGTCGGGCGCAAAAGCATGGCAAAACAGCTGCTACTGTACGTCGTGTTTTGCGCATGTGAGTGTGTGGTGTGTTGCTTTGCATGCTCTGTCTTCACTGTCATGCCATGTACGATTTCAACATGCTCACCTCTCGATCTCTGCGAGCTTTTCTCACATGCTACGAGTAGCGAGCAAAGCAGGAGAAAACAACATCAAAATCTACAAAAGTATTTGATTCACGGATATTCACGGCGCGCCCTCTCTCTCTGGGTCACCTTTTCCACAGCCATGCCATTGTCAATGGTGGGAATGCCCAGAAACTTCAGCAACCGGACTCGAACCGAAAGGGTTGGTACAATCTCGAGGTCGCCGCATCTGGTCGATGTCAAGGCGATGTGGCGAAAGCTTGGGCGGCTGCTTCCCCAACTGAGACTTAGCGCGTTCGGCAAATGATGCTTGGGAAGACGAAGAAAGCATGGACGGTTTCCAGGCAAAACATGGCCTGCAAATGGCAATGCCTTCGTCAGCAGCAAGAGGAACCTACATTCTAGCGATCGAGCATATGACAACGACCAAATCCGCAAGCCCTACATGATTCGTCTCAACTCTCAGGAGCTTTGAGGTCTTTTGAGTTTTTTTGCCAAAGAATCTTGAGGTGTTTCACGCGATCTACAGTGATGCCAGGCCTTCAATAGCATGTGCTGCTGAACAGCAGCGAACATGGCCAAACTACACAGGGCAAACAAAACGCCCTACTTTACCCCATCTACAGGCGAAACAAAATGAAGCTGAATCTGGACTTATGGGACACACCCTTACAACTACACGCAGCAAAACGCATTTTACAGATCTTACCCTTGCCCCATGATTGGACCGCAAGGTCTTAAAGCCGAGAGCTTCAGAAACATGCCGTGCATGCAAAAGAGACAGTCAAAAAATATCAAAGGCATCTAACTCCAAAGTCATGTGAGAACCTGCATGTTGAGTAGTGGTTTTAGAGTAGAAGGCAACAGGAACGCAAAAGGGGACTCACATCTAGATCGCATATATATATAATTACATTACATCATCCACTTCAACAAATCGCCTCGACCTGGTCGTGATGTGAAACCATTTTGCGCTGAGGCTCTGATGTTCTTCGCTGCTCAAGTCGTGGGCAACTAAAGCACTGTAAAGCAACACGCCTCTACGGCTCGAGGGACTCAAAAGACATTTTGCAGGTGAGATCCAAACAGCAAGCGCATCAGCTTCACGAAGGCGGCCTGCTTTGAGAAAACTCTTCCCCGCCTTTTCCAGTGATGTTCGGTCAAGACACATGAAACCAAACGCTGCAAGTGAAGAACTTTCACGCGCGTCTTGCGAAATGTTTCGGAATACTGATCTTACTTTTCTGCCCAAGTAAAGCGTGGAGGAACGCCACCGATTAAGAAACTGGAAGCCAGCTGAGGCCGCACGCTCATAGTCCAAGGCCGCATTTTGGATGTCTCCCAAGCGATGAAAGATTTCTGCGGCTCGACGAAAATCTTGCATTCTCTGCATGGAAGCCGGGATGAAATCGTGGACAAAGGTATCTTGGGCGGCTTGTAGCATCTGTGCTGAGGCCAGGAGTGATCGTACGGCTTGCTTTGTAGTGACAATCGGCCTTTCACCAAGGATCTTCGAAGCGGTAGCCTTCTGTGTGTCCAGAAGCTTAGAGAAGCTAGTTGCTGCTTCCCTCTCTTTATCCAACATAAATGTGGAAAACTGGCTTTGCGTGCGCAGAAACCATGCCTGTGCAATCTGCATTTGCTCTTGTAAATCTGTTTGTGTCTGTTCGTACTCCAGAAAACGCTCAACCGTCAATCGAAAACCAGCTTGTGCTTCTGATACTTCTTTCGTAGAGGTCATGGTAAAAACCCTTTCCCAAAAGTTTGGGATTTTCAATCGTGAAAGAGGTGACCTGCAGCGTTGCAGCTCCAGAATCACACAAATGGACCGGTGCCACTCGATTTCTGTTTCCCAGCTGGCGATTGTCTTGGCCAAAGCTGCACTCAATGACAAAGAGCCTTCAAGGGCGGATACATTCAGGAAGCCATCGCCTTTCAAGATCAACCTGCAAGGACCTCCAAGTGTACGCTCTAGCTGTGCATGCAAGTCGTCGACCGTCGCTGAAACTGAAATGGCAAACTCAGGCAACTCTCGACCCGACAACAGCGTGGCGTTGACAAGAATCACCTCTTCGCCAGAAGCGTCCTCAGCTTGGATCATGTCATGAAACATGTCATCCTTGAGACGCAACTTGCGTGATCTGAAGGCCATGACGAGTTGTACAATCTTTGCACCATCGGGTTGTTGGTGCCTCTTAGCGTTGTGAGATTGAGTATTGGATGCAATGGTGTACAAGTCATCTAAATCCTCTAGGGCGAATCGACCCTTGTTGCGCAGCTGCTCATCGAGAAGTTTGGAGGAGCAGCGCAGAGCCTCTTCAAATATTGCCCGGGCCTCCTCGAACACAGGCCATCGTTGCTCCTGATCGTCTAACGCATGCCTCAGCAGTCGACGGCCTCTTTCCTTCAGATGCTGTATAGCAGACGAAAGGCTTGAAGATCCTGTGTGGTAGTTAGATCGCAATCTCAGAACCTCAACGATTGATGGGAAATCTGGTCGATGTTCTTGATGTTCTTGCCGACTTTTTGCAGCAACCTCAGCTTTCTGCGATAAAATAGGGCCATGCGCTGCTTGCACCTTGAAAGCAAAAAACGGATCGAAGCATTTTCCTGATTGCAAGCGCATTCGTTCTTGACCAAGCATTTTTCTTGCTAATTTGTGCTCAGAACCAATACGTTGCTTCAACTCCGACAAAATCCAGGCAAGTTCATCGTCAAGAGAAGAAAATCTCTCTGCAACTGCAGCTTTCTTAATCTTGTCAGCCTTCTTCTCTGTAAAGTCAGCCCTGTTCTCTGTAAAGTCACGTCCTTCACGGGATGCCTTAGCCATCTCGCAATAGTTGTCATCAGTGACAAACACAACTAGCCCAGAATCACGCCAATGCTCAACAAGCTTCTGCTGTACTTGGTGCGCGCTTTCCACAAATGCACAGCCAAACCGAGCCCGGGTAATGCCGACGTACAAATGTTTCAGCTCTGGAATCAAAGCTGCTGCAATGGCTGCTGTGGATGCTGGGTGAGAGAATCGTTTGGTTGAGCCAATCCTACCCTGCCAAATCTCCTCCACCAAACTGACAGTTTGCCACACTCTTTCCGGGTCACGCAAAGGGCATGCGCTGAAATAATCATACAAAACGACAAAATCGAATTCAAGACCTTTCGCTTCTGCAATAGTGAGAATGGTTCCACGCGCGCCAAGACAACGTAATCTGTTGCGGCAGGCATTTGTGCGTACCAACACCGCACAGCGGGTTGAATCCAGAATACGCAAGGCCAGCGCTCCTGTTCCCATAACTACCCCAGCCGGGTCTGACGAGCAAACAAAGACAGGAGCTCTGCCTCCGCTTCCACAAGCCTTCTCCTCAACTGAATCTACAGATGCTGGGAAGAGCTTGATGAGGAGTTCTGACACTGTGTTTGCGAGTTGTACGATTTGTGGCGATGAACGATGATTGAAACCTAACGACATCTGGGCGCATAGAAGTGCTTCTTCTCGAAACCGTTCTTCACAGGGATCTGAAGGTTCTTGGAGTGGTTTCGGGTTGATGTTCTGGAACGCTAAAATGATGTCCTTGAAAGAGAAAGCACTGCCAGGGTTGATAGTCTGGCATGTGTCTCCAGCTATCATCACCTCAAGGATGAGCGAGTGTTCTCAAGGGCCTTTTGAAAAGAACATGTCATCATGTTCTCCAGTTCAATTGAATCCGGGTTTGTAAATGTTCCGAAAGTCAACAACTAGCACTAAACTGGCAAAACAAAACACATATTGTGGCGCTGTATCAAGCGTCCCCATCCCCACGGCCACAAAGGCACAAAAGAGCAGTGAGTTCAGCTGGGGAAAAGTCTTGCGCTTCATCCACATAGAGCTCTTCAAACAAGGCAACTTGCTGTGACGATCTGATCAGTGCTGCTACATCAGTGCTGTCCAGTTGGTTTCCACCTGACACCAGTCACGCAGAATGCAGTGTTGCACGTTCAACAAGACTTGGTGCAATTGCGTTGGATGCACCCCAAAACGGCACCTGTCATCTTCCGCTGCAAGTACGCCACAAACATGCCTCAACTTACATGCAGTTCGCAGTTTGGACTCCTGTTGATGGAATCACACTGGTGCTCGCTGATTTAATTCAAAACAAACCCAAACCATCACTGAGACCACATCAACAAAGAACACCGACCAAGTAAACAACACCGATATGTACATCGACTCTAGACTAAAAACAATACCGATGAATCGATGAATATTTAAACATAGCGGGCACAAGGAGCCCCTCTGTCCATTCAATCTTGACACTGACATGTATACATGTGCATGAGGCCAACCAATGCAGCTCAATTTACTTAAACGGGCCACTGGGAAAGAACCAACAAAAGCTGAAGAAAGGAACCGCGACGAAGAAGACATCCGCCCAAACTACTTTGGCGCTATCGCCACATGTTTTCAACACACCGAAATGGCCCCTCGAGTGGCGCTGCAGGTACCGAAGCAGTCGGGTGTGTTCACGGTGCCACTTCTGTGGTTAATTTCTACTTTGGTTTGTTCTGAACACAACATGCTGGAATGGTGAGGGCGCAGGTCAGAGCAGGTGAACATGGTATGTGAAATGTACGTTGACCTCATCGACGCGAAGAAAGGTGTGTTCCTTGGAGTGATTTGAAACGGCCTTGCGTGGCCAAAACTATTTCGCGTGAAATGACTCCCTTCGTGCAAGATCTCTTGATATCTCTGGTATCGCACCAAGCTAGCGTCGGTGCACACCTCACAATATGCTGAAACCATGCGATGTGAGGGAATAGGAAGTTTTCACGTGGCAGTTTTAAAGAGGTTCCAGTCCAGGCATGGAAATGGTTCATGGCATCTATGAGAAGGCTCCTGCTGTCGCACCATTCTTGGGTCAACATGCAATACCAAAGGCTCAGGGCGAACACCGGCACTAGCTTGCGCATTTAGCCCATCTCAGTGATCAATATTGATCAATAATTTTCAGATGGGCTGATGGTGCCATGGACAATGAACGCCGTGGGAGGTACAACGCTTCATTCCCCCGCTCCACATGCTTGAGGTTGAAAATGCAGCGTGATCTGAGTCCAATGTAGAAGTGCTGGCAGTCGGGTGCCTGAACCACCTACAAGCGCACCACTTGTTTTTGAGAGATTGAGTTGCACTTCGTGCGGCATCTCAAGAGTTGCTTGCTTTGTAGCTACCTTCAAAGTGTGTGTGTGTATACATATGAATATATATAGAGGGCGCGTTTTTGTTTGGTTATTTTGGTGTGGCGTTTGAGGATCTGTCTGTGCTGCTGTCGTTTCTCTATTATAGTTCCTCCAGTGGAATTGGAAAAGCGTTGCGTTTAGGGAATTCTTTTGTGTGGTCGTGGTTTCTCTATAGTTGCACTTGAGTTGTTCCTCAAGGTGAACTAAAACACAACCACCAGTGGATCAGAAAACAAAGAGCGAGAAAAGCATACAAAACCAGAAAAAACATGCATAAAGCAACGCTGACTCAAGGATTGAAAACCAACTTACCAAAAGTGAAAGCAACAAAGACCATAAAAAGAAAAACCATTGCGATAAGGAATCAATATGCCTCAACAAAAACAAGAGGGACAGTAAAGGAGAAAAGCCAGGAAGAACAAACTAAGCGCAAAGGGAGCGGGAAAAGTAAACAAAAGCATTCACACAGAAACAATGAAAAGCGCAACAAGCATACAAAAGCAGAAAAAATAAGAAAAGCGGGAGCAACCACAGAAAAGCAATGAGAAGAAAGAAAAGCAGGAGAGGTCATAGAGAAGCAAGGAAAAGCAAGAAAAGCAGCAAGAAGCAGATCCAACATTTCACCAAACTCAGAAACAAAAACCCGGCCCCCAAAGATTGCCCTCCAAAGTATAGGATATATGATTGTGGAAAGCATTGCACGATCGACGATCGAAGCCTTTTCGATCTGCCAACAGGCAGGGTCCTTGCCCAGTCTCGAGCACCGGCGAATGTACACTTCTCGTTTTGTGCAAGTGTTTTGACCAATGGAGCTCAACGTCCGATTCACATTGCTCCAACTCTTTGTTGGTCAAAACATGGCTTTTAATGCCCTTGCACCGTACTCGCAGCTCGCATAAGGTCCAACATGAATTTCTCATGATCTTAGAGGAAAACCGAGGGACCCTTTTTAGTAAGAGAGTCCGAAATCATGATTCCACCCGGCACCCATCTCATTCTGTCCTCTGGTGGCGACCATGTCGTTCTCAATGATGGTCAAGTCGATTGCCGCGCGCTTGTCTTCTATGTGGGCCGCAACATTCTTGGGTTTGCTCAGGTTGTCAGACAGGGAGCGAGAGTCCGTTGCTGCAAGGAATGGAGTATGTCGGATCTTCTCTTGCCAGTTGACCAGGTTCATTCGAAATATTTGGACCCCTGACCATAGGAACCTCATCCAATAGGATGCCCCAACTCCTTGCACCACGGCTTGAGCCTCTGCTGCCAGAGTGTTTACTGTACATCTTTTCAACTTGTAGCTTTTCCAGCTCATGATGGACAAGGCTTTTGGCGATTGCTCTGTCTCAAGGGCCTTGTCATAGGCCAAGACAATGTGTCCACCTTGGCTATGCGTTCGACGGACTTGTAGGAATCGCTCATGGATTTCAATCTTGCTCTTTTTGGCCTTCTTTTTCATGAAGACAGTATGTCCTTTCCATTCATCTTCTCCACGCCTTCGGAAATCTTGTCGACGGTTCCACGTGTCCTCGAATAGTTCTCCATCAAACCAAGTGGCTCTCTCCGCTTCTAGGCCGTGCATTTGTGGTCCCTTGGAATCAGCTCCAGGACTCCAGGATGAAATAGCAAATGTCGGGCCTGGACATGGTGTTGAATCCATAGGGCCCCTTTTTCTTCCCAGAAACCTTTGCTGCTTTCTTCAAGTTCTTGGCACGGTGTGTTGCCCCAGCTAGCATCTGATGCTGCTCCAATTCTTAGGCTCTCAGGTGGTATAGGTGCAATGATGATGCCTGCGTCAATCTTGTGGATGGCCTCATTTGCCAGACTATTGGCCTCGATCAGGTAGGTCACGGATGTATGGTTTTGGCATGCACTGTTGAAGGATACATATCCGACCCATCAAGTCTGGCCTTGTTTCTTTTGCTAGCCATGCAAGAGACCCAAGTAGTGCTCTAAGTTCTGGGATCTCCTCGTCCGTGGAAAGGTTATATTTTTCTTTCTTTCTCTCTTTGTTGATGGTGACGGTTTTGATCTTCTCTTTTACGTACATGTTCTGGTGAATCTTGATCCGTCCATCTTTCAAGCATTGAGTTTCTTTCCCAACAAATCGGCCATCTCCCTTGGCGGAACTTCCCTAACTTGTAATGTTGGATCCAAGTCACGTTGTCCCAATGACGTTTGCCTCCTCCATGAAGTAGGTCATCTGCGGCCACGCCGATGATGCCTTCAATCTGTCGCGCTTGTTCTTCGCCTTGTCCTTGTTGATGGCTATCTTTGAAGAGCATGAACAAGCAAGGATCTGGTTGAGATTGTTCGTAGCCCAGGTGGATGTACCATTGGTAGGGACCATCTAACAATCCATAGCAATGTTTCTTCAACTGTCGTTCTTGTATTCCAGGAAGTCCTTCACTTGGGAGTTCCGCGAAGAGCAAACGAGACATCTCGTCTCCACTATGGAAAGCTTGAGTGAAGTCCAGATATCCAGGTTCCCACTGGTCAGAGCACAATGTTTGTAAACAGTGGGACGGTCTCGGGAGCGACTTGTGGAGTTGCTGCTTCTAGCCATTCAGAATCGGGCTCCCTGAAACCCTTCATGACATGTCGGGCCTTCGCTTTGAATCCTCCACGCTCATCCTCTTTGATCAACAGTCCCTCATCCTTGATGCGCGGGGCCTCGTCAGGCTCAATCCGTTTTTCCTCTAAAACGGGGCTGGAGGATGCTGCAACCTGTTCTTCGATTCTTCGGGAGATAAAATCTCATACGCTCCAGCGTTGATGTTGTTGTTGACCTCTTTCTGGATCGCTTTGATTAATTTTTCTCTTGCAAATGGGAGCAAGTCTTTCAATTTGATCTCCTTTTGGCCTTTGATCTTCTTCATCTCCGGGATGAGTGTCTGGAACATAATCTCTGCCCAGCCAATCTTTTGTCGCTTCTGGGTCACATCGTCCTCTTCCTGGTCCTCGTTCTCCAAGGGTCGTACTTGTCCTCGGGGTTGTTCTTCCTCTTCTGTATGTTTTGCTTTCTTTTCTACATGTTCTTGGACCTGGTCTTCTGCTGGACGTTTGTGTTCCTTTTCGTTCTTGTCCTCATTCTTGCTTGAGTCTTCTTCTACTGGCATCTTGATTTCGTGTATGGTCATCGAGTCCTTCGACTTGTCCTCTTCTTCCCAGGGAAGTGGTTTGCAGTCTAGTTGAATTTCCGTGCGACCTTTCCATCTTTGAAGTTGATGTTTGATCTCGTCGTTCCAGGATTCCAATTGTCGACAAACTCTTCGATGCGCCCGTCCTCGAAGTACATGGTGGTCCTCCGGTGAGCTTGCAGTCGATTGTAGTCAATGGGGCAATTTTCCACATCGGTAGGTTTGAAGCTCAGTTGTCTGAAGTTGATGTGAAATCTTGTCAATGTCCCTTTTGATTCATTCCACATCCATTCGTCTTCCTCTGGTCGAGCTTCAACTTGTTGATGCGGTGTTTTTCCTTCTATCTTGTACCTTGGCTTTTTGAGGTGTTGTTCCTGAGGGTCTGGTTCTGCGTCTTCCTGTTCATGGTCTATTTCTTCGCTGTTGTACTCCTTGGTGAGGTCGATGTAGCCTGCTTTTGGTTCTTCTGGCATGATGTGTCGAAGATTGGATAGGCCCTCCATCCATGAAGATAGTTAGTTGCTCAGGAGCGGCTTTCACAATGTGTCTTCTGAAATTGATCCAGATTGCTCCAGATGTTTGATGTTAGGACCACTTTCGCTGGTCCCCTCCAGTAGCGGGCGCTCTCCTTACTAGCTTTATCTCCTGGAGCCCGTCGCCAGAAGTAAACTGTCTGTCCAACTTCAAACTCTGGTCCATCACGTCGTCCGGCATGTAGGGAGTTTCTCAGGGCTTGTTGACATTCGATTTCATGAAATGCCTTTGCTGCTGCTAGTCTCATAGTTTGTGCCCTTTGCATCTGCAGGTCTCCCCTTGTGGCCCAGTTGCGTTCTTTTGTTCTTCATTCGTGAGGAACTGAAGTCCACCTGGAATCTTCGGAGTGTAGCCCAGCAGCCTTTGAGCTGGAGGGAAGCCTGAGTTGTTCACTCGTGGATTGACAGTCACGTTCACGATGTCCACAAGGCCCCTCCATTCGGTGTCGTTCTGAACCGCATAGGTCTCCATGGATTTGATGAGGAATTCCTTGAAAGTCTTTCCGGGTCTCTCGGTGGTCGATCTTTGAGTCGGCATCTCCAATGCACCGGGTTCCACGATGGTCTCATCTAATTCTGCTCCATCTTGGAACGCAGAGCAGAATTCTTTCCCAAGATCCGTGTAGAGACGTTTTGGGACCCCATGAATCTGACCCACTCCAGGTAGGCTCTTCTGGTGTCAGGTGCCGTGTGACTTCGAAGTGGGACCACCGTCCGGAGCCATTCTTCTCTTCTTTCCTGGGGTAAGCAGCCAGATTGCATCTACTCCAACAGTATGGTTGGGCGGTAGTTCTTTTGGCGGTGCGGCTGCTCGAGGAGGTCGGACTAGCTGATGTTGTTGGCAAGTAGCACATACCAAGTTCTTGGCGGCATAGTCAATCGCCTTCTTGGAGGCATTTGCGTTCTGAAGAATTCTGGCTAATCGTTCGTTTCCAGGATGTCCCAGACCTTCGCGCGCCCTTCTCACAAGATGCTCCATTGAGAATGGTCGTTCTCGAGGAAGCAATGGTTTGCCGTATCAGATTTTTCTTCATCTTTTAGCTCTTCCTCTTGTTCGTTTTGGTTGGCATGTACTTCATGTTCTCCTGCATAGCCATTGCTTTCGTCGTCGTCGATCTTGATCATCTAGTTCTCGACAATTTTGATCATCTAGTTCTCGACAATTGAATCTTGTAGCCCTAGCCAGTGGATCTCTCTGGTTGATGTTGATGTCCTGTTGCTAATTTGTCGTTGGTATCCGTCCAGTCCAAGATTGCTTGCGCCAGCTGGTCCGGGTATCTTTGCGCTTGTCGTGATCGACTTTCTCCTCGACATTGGCCAAGTACTGGAGTATGTTGTTGTTGACCATCACATCGTCGACTTAGCTGATCGGCGATTTTCTTGCTATTGGTGATCCAACCAGTGCTCTTCTTCAGGACTCCACCTTGTACGTCTCGAAGTCCATATTGACAATGATCACAGCTGGTCAGGATGCTATCTTCGCGGTGGATGATTTTCTGTAGAGCTCTCTCCGTCCAGGCTCTGGATGTCAAAGGTTGCTCTAAGGTGTATGTACCTCCATATTCCAACACCAGCAAGATCACTTCGGGCAAAGTTAAGGAGGATTCGGGATTCTCGAAGTCTCCGTGCGAAGTCCTTCTTCGTGACGTTCATGTTCTGCATGATGCTGAACAGAGTGCATGGTGGTGAGATCACTGTGAGACCTGGTTTGAACTCTTTGATGAATTTCAGTACTCGATCACGTTGTCGAGGGTCAAGCAGGTCATCTCCAAGTTCTAGAACGAAGGCTGCTGCGGCCATAAGTCCTGATCGAGGGCAGTGCGGAGCGAAGCGCTTCGGATTGAAAATCTCGACGATGGTCGTCTGGGATCCTTTAATCATTCTAGCATAGTGTTGGTTCACTTTCGTGTTGGACCTGATGCGCTCTAGATCTTTCTCTATTGCGCAAAATGGCTCATCCTCTCTCAGACTTTTCCCCAGCTCTCTCCAGATTCCCCATGTCTTCACTTCTTGTTGCCACTGGTCTTGTGGGTCTCCTTCTTCTTTTCCGCCTTCCACTTCTGGTACTCCAAGAACTCGTTGAACTCGGCCTTCTCCTTTTGGTCGAAGTCCGTCAGTTCCTCCTTCACAATCTGCTCGTCCTTGGTCTTCGCTTCCGGCTCGGTATCCTTGCGTTCTGACTTCAGGACTTTCCCGCGTTTCACACACTTCTCCACTGCCCCGTTTGGAGGTCCGAGCATGATCGCACTTTTCCTGACCCGGCTGATTCTCGACCGGACTGGTGATGTTCTTGCCGTTCTTGGTGTTCTGCGGGAGCGCCTGGAGTGCTTGGGGAGCGTGTCGATGGGCGGTAGCTGGTTGGGCTCTTCTCTTCTGAGACAGACGGTGGAGTTTGACTCACTGGGGTGATGGACTGGGATGCCGCTGTCGCCTGGTTGTTCCTCTCGGAGTAGGTCATCTTTGGCCACAGGTTGAAGACCTTGTTTCGTCCGTGGGTTCGTACTTGTTCCCGCTCCGTTTCCTCCATGTCGGTCACCTCCACTTCGGTCTCCTCCATGGTGCCTACGTAAATCCTCTGGCCCATCAACGAAATGGCCAGTTCGGTGATCCTGATCAGCACGAAGAGGAGCCGAGCGACCAACCGAGCCCAGACGTTTTCGTAGCGGTTCTCCTCGATCCGGCAGCGCTTCATGGCTGTGGGTCGACCTTGAATTCACTGTAGGGCCTGTGGTGAGGATGGACGAATCTGCCTTTGAGCCATTATTGGTTGCAGGGGCCGTTTTCAAGATCTCGAACTCCTCGGATTCATGTTGTAACTGTTCATGGAGTTGTTGAAGTCTGTCTTTCTGATCCTCCGTGAACTGGTTGAGAGGTAATCGAAGTGCTCCCGTGGGACCAATGTGACAATCGACCCCGAAACCGAAACGACGAAGATGTAGTCGTGGGCCTCTCTGAGGATCCAAGTGCAAGACAGACCGGCAATGTAACCAGAATGGTAACGAAATCAAAAACGGAGCTTTCCGGGATTCACCTTCCTGAAATATAGCTGGTCGAAGTAAGCTTCCTTTATTGCCCAAGCTGGTAGGGATGGTTGCCAAATGGGAGGTGGACGACGTTCCATTCACCGAACGAAATCGATGTTCTTGAGGAACCAAGCCAATCCTTAAGTCGTGAGGTAGTTGTCGAGCTAGTCGATGTAGAGTTTCCTCCCCAATCGCCATTCGTTGGCACCCGGTGTCAATGGTGGCGCATCCCTCATCGAAAGGTGGCTTCTCCTGCAAGGGTGCAACTTCAGGAAGGCCTCGCCGCTGGCCTTATCATGATTCTCGGCTGCTCTCCCCCGGAAATTGGAATCACCCCTAACCCAAAAAATCTCATGGTCAAAACAAGAATCATCACCCTTATCATCCCCGATATCCCCTTCAATCGACGCGCGTTGGACCTTATATATCGGGGTTCAGACATGCTTGATCCATCAGCTTCAATGTGGGAGCTGGTCACCACTTCAAAAATCCCTAGCTCACTTCGTCGCTTGGCTCAGCTGGGCATGAACTCGATGAAGTCATGGCCACCGATGGAGGCATCAGTGATTCCCCGATCACGTCCTTCTCGACATCGGAAGTCGGCCACGACAATCCATCTTCATAGACCTCATGGAGATGGCGATATTGCTCTCCATAGACCTCGCGAGTTTGCCTTTTCCAGACTTGCCCTTGTCCTTTCCGGTGCCTTTCCATCCACAGTAGCCCCGGGCTAGTTCCTTAGCCTTCTTGAGTTTGAGGCTCTGGCTGAAAGTCCTCTTCTGGTACATAGTATTCAGAACCTCTCGAATTTCGCGCTCGTCCAGAGCCTCTTCATCCATGTTTTCTGTCCCTTCCTCAGCGTCGCCCTCGTCCTCGTCATTCAACCCGTCCAGGACGGCCTCAGTCTCGAGGATCTCGTTCTCGTCGGTGTAGTCCAAGGTCTCATCGGCCTGGATGTGGTGAACCGGCGAAGTCGACGATGCCCCGGATGTAGTCTTGGCCTTGGTCTTGTTGACTTCAACTCCGACCTCTTTGGCCATCAGTTTGGTTTCATGCTTCCAAATCCATTCCTTCACATCTTTGGTGGCGATGCTGCCTCGATTGAAGTTCATCATATTCTTGATGTCTTGTTCGCTGAGGTCCAAGGCGTTGATCACTAGGAAGCCCTTGTAGGCATCCGGAAGTGCCACCTGATGCGTTGACACCCTCCTCATCGCCTCCCGTCGATTGAAGAAAGCTCGATGTCCTTCTTGACGATCTCTCCTGATGTGGTGGGTCACTTTCGCCAAGGAGCTGAGGAGGTCCTCTTCCGTGTCGTCGCCGAAATTCTCGGGCAAGCCCATGGCCACCAGTAGGCGGTGCCCTCCCTGCTCATCCCGAAGCCAGGAACGCCAATCTTGAAATGGCGTTGAATCGCCATCCCACTCCGGAGGCTTGGATGTGGATCCGCCCCCCTTCCACTCATCTTCTTCTTCACCACGCCCTCGACCGCGACCTCGTTCACGGTGTCGGCGATCTGTCAGGAACTCACGAAACTCATCACTATCGAAGTCATCTGACATGCCAGCTCCAGCTGGCGAACCTTCGCGGCCTCTCACCCGAGACCGAACAGATCCCGCTCCTGCGGGTTCACCATCTCCAACTTCACTTCCATCACTTCGAGGCACCGGCTGGGTGCTTCCGTCCGCCATGGCTTACCGCTGCTACCCTGGAGCTTATTGCTCCGCTGCCATTGTGGATAGCATTGCGCGATCGAAGCCTTTTCGATCTGCCAACGCGCAGGGTCCTTGCCCAGTCTCGAGCACCGGCGAATGTACACTTCTCGTTTTGTGCAAGTGGTTTGACCAATGGAGCTCAACGTCCGATTCACAATGATATATATAAAACATGCTGACCCTCGCCTACAATCCACATTCCATTTTGCAAGTTATCATTTAGCGGTTTTGTGAAGCAGGAATTTGGTTAACTTTGCGTAAGTTTCTTCATAATTCACCTAAGACCTAGACCGTGTCCTTGCCAACGCCTTGGCTGACTGTATGAAAGGTTGCAACTACTTCCGAGGTGCTGTAGATGTCTTGTAGCTGATCCTTGCGCAAAGGAACACCAATACAGGCGGTTGTCTGCTCAGTGTACTGCTCAAGCGTTAGGCAGTTGCCTGCTCTTGAAAGGGCCTCAAGGGTCACCAAGAAGCGTGCAATGCCATGAAAGCTGACGAGCTGCATCTCCATCTTACATATCCCTTCAAACCTGGTGAAACGGCACTACTCCGTTCTCATTGGCCGTGCTGGGAGGGCTGAAACATACACACCCAGAAACTACCCCTATTTCCTCAATTTTTGTAGCTTTCTGTCCATTTCCAGCCTGCTTTGTCCGAAATTGATCAAGTGTAACTCTGCCGTGCAGTTCGACGGGTGGCTTTGCATCAAATGATCGAAGCTTGTTGTGGAATTCTGCCCAAACTAGGAGCGGATCCAAACCGGCAGGTGGTTTCAAAGCTGGCCAAAAGCCTCATTTGCAAAAGAGGTTCGTGTTTTTAAACTTTGTCCAGCGACAAACTCCCCTGCAAAGTTCTACGCAACGGCCATTCTGATTTGGCCAGCTACCGCTGCTACTGTGTACTAATATTGCCAAGGATCTTGCAAGAAAAGTTGAGTATTGAATTGCTCCGGGGCAGTTCGGAAGCAAACCCTGCACCAGCTGATCCCAAGTCAGACACAGAAGTTTTGATCCTCGTGTGAAGTGTCTGCTCAAAGGCAAGGACCGTCCTCCGTAGAGTGGCAAAAATCAACGATCTTCCCGGCTTCCCCCCTTTTGGGTGCGGAAGCACCGCAGGAGGCGTCATCAGGTCTGTTCCAAACACTCTTTCACTCTTTCGCCAAGCTTCCCAACTCATCTGCAACATTTTCACAAAGCAGTGAAGATCTTGTGATGAAGAGGCGTCGAGCATCAGGAAAAAGACGGCTTCGATGTAGGATGCGCTGGATGATGCACACAGTCTTTCCGGTCCCAGAGCGGCCTTGCAAAAATACCTGGAAGGCTCAGCCAGAGAAATACAGGCTCAGCCGCCATGTTGCTTGACATGTTATCGTTATCTATTCAGTTTGCTTCACATACGGAATGACAGTGTGGAAATGTGGAGCAGCCTGATGTAAAAGCAGCCTGGAACGGTAAAGCAAAAAACAATTCTTGGTGACTTGGTGTGGTAAGTGTTGTCTACGTTTATAAAAAACTTTCATATGGTAAGGCCAGAATCCTTGATTTAAAAAAAAGTCAAAAAAAGTCAAAAACAGTCAACTGGAAACGTCAAAGTCAGAAAAAAGTCAAATTGAACAGTCAAAAAAAAAGGCCCAAAAAATACAAAAAAAAAATCAAAAACAGTTTTAAAAAATAGAAAGAAACAAAAATGTCCAGTCAAGCGACTCAGGAGCAAAAGAAAGCCGGCATATATATATATATATGGAAAACACAGGCAAACAGGACAACAACATTGAACTAAACTAGTAACAAGCTCATAAGTCATCCAAGGCAAATTGCAGCCTTTTTGCTTATGGCTTATGGCTTTCAGTCTATTACAAATTCTGGAACCTTTTTGGTTGTTCAACTTTCACCTTTTCCAGCCCCAAGCCAGCCCCAACCCCCTACCCCAGAGTCGCAGGACCCCGACCCAGCCCCAGCCACTGTCCCAGGGTCTCTTCAGCTCCAAGCCAGCCCTGTCCCTGGTGGCCCTGGTAGCCACCCCAGAGTTCCAAGTACCCAGCCCTGTCCGGCCCCAGAGTCGCGAGCAGAATTGACTTTTTTTCGACTTTTTTTTTTGACGTTTTGGTGCCTCCAGTAATCCGCCAAGGCTAGGATCCGCGCTGGGTTTTCACATTTGACCTTTTTGTGACTTTTTTTTGACTTGTTTTTTGACTTTTTCCACTTTTGTCTTTTTTTTGACTTTTTGTTGCCTCCAGTAATCTGCCAAGGCTAGGATCCGCACAATTTAACTTTTTTTTTTGACTTTTCCAATTGACTTTTTTTGACTTTTTTTTGCCGGCCCAGCCCCAGCCCTCCTGTAGCCTGCCTGAGCTCGACCTCAACCTGACCCCTCTGCCAGGAGCCAGCCGCAGCCAGCCCAAAGCCTGGCCCTGGCAGCAACCTGCCCCAAAACTTGAGCAGCAGCTGTCTTGGGGCTGAAGAGACCCTGGGACAGTGGCTGGGGCTGGGTAGGGATCCTGCGACTCTGGGGTAGGGGGTTGGGGCTGGCTTGGGGCTGGAAAAGGTGAAAGTTGAACAACCAAAAAGGTTCTAGAATTTTTAATAGACTGAAAGCCATAAGCCATAAGCAAAAAGGCTGCAATTTGCCTTGTTACAAGCTTTTCCTTGACTTGTTTACCTATGCAAAGTTTTTGTTTGACTTTTTTTGTGACTTTTTGTTGACTGTTGACTTTTTTTGACTTTTTTTTTTGACTTTTTTTGGACTTTTCAATTTGTTTTTTTTACTTTGACTTTTGGGATTGATTCTTTTTTGACTTTTTTTGACTTTAAAAAAAACAAAAAAAAATTGAAAACAGGTTCTTTCCAATGCAAGTTTTTTTGTAAGTCTACGTACAACAAACCTTCTGTGCAAGCTGCTCAGCAGGGTCCAACGGCTGTTCTGAGAACATTTATGAAGTGCATTGGTTTCTTTAATGGATTGGCCTGTTCCACGGCTGCGTTTTTCTTTTAGCCTGCTCTTACTTAAGTAGGCGCCTACTTGATTAAGCAAGGGCTAGGTAGATACACTAGGGGCCGCTTACCAACTAGCCAGGATGCAGGATAGCTCATGCTCTTCATTTGGTTCCGAGATTTTAAGGGACACTATACAGAAGCTCACTAACTAACTACAGGGGCCTTGTGAGTCAGAACGAATCAAACCAGGAATGGAGTGGTCGCAGAACTCCTGTAAAATCATTTGGATTTGTTTTTTCATTGTCCGTTACAGTTTCAAACCAAACCCCTATCAGATCACTCTGCTCTGCAGCAACGTCGCTTGTTTGATCAAAGTTGACATCTTGAGAAATGATAATTTCAACCAGTTCAAAAACGAGAAATAGGACTGACAAATGAGTGACCCACTCTTGGTTGTTCTGTGCGGTCCTGCCGGCAAAAGGGAAAAAAGCGCCTTGGTCCTTGAGACGTTTTTACATGTTAGGTTCTCTTTCCAAGCCTCTCAAAAAAGAAGGGTGTATCAGGAATCATCATGTGAGGGTTGTTCAAAATTTCAAATGTGGCTATGATGCTGAAAGGCTTTTGCGCTCTGATACTGAGAGCAAGACCCGCAAATGATCAAGACTGATGCGAAGAAAAACTATCAGAACCAATGAATACCAATGAGCCATGCAAATGCAAACTTGGAAAGAACTCGAACAAAGCTGAGCTACACTATGGGGGAACTCGATGACCTGCCGCTGGGTTGTGCTCAGGTTCACTACATGATTCGTTTGCATCGGTTGTTCCTTCTTCGATCCTGAGCACAAACCAGCGCTGTGGCACACGTCTTGCTTTGCTACTAGGGTGGAGGCCGTCGCTAGTTCGCTAGTAGGTTGGAGGCCACCGCTACTAGGGTGGAGGCCTTCGCATGTTTTTTCCGAGATTCGCAACTGTCTACTTAATGTCGAGACCCGGCCATGAAGCCACGCAAGACCTGGAGCCAAGGAGGATTCACCTCAGCTGCATTCATTTTCTCAAGCCCAGGCTTGAAGAAAATGGAATATTCACGAAGAGAAGAACATGTGACCGAGCCGAGCCAGGCACTGATAGATAAACATTTGGCCACATGCTCTGCTTTCTGCACATCCTCTAGCGACTCATGAGCTTTGTCCAGTGCCTCTAGCAAACAAGATTCTGCGTGCGCAAGCACTTGGAAGACTGGGTCAATGCTGGCCCTGAAGAACTTCTTGAGAAAGTCAGAAACGCATGGAATCCTGGAAGCAGCAGCTTGGTCAGAGTGAAAACACCAGCGGTTCATTATTCACAGTATATAGAACCAACATGAACCAACCATGACATGCCCTGATTCTTCCAACGCTTTGCAGAAGCTTGGCAGCCATGGTATCATAATCAGGTCAAGAGTCGTATAGACCTTTTGCAGTTTCGCCGCTATCTTTGGCTTGAATACAAGTTCGGCTTCTTGCTGAATCCGGCGAAGCTCTACAAGGAGAAAGCTCGAAGCTTGGAGCGATGTCTCGTCAGAAAGTTGCAAGGGCCGGTTCATCGCGCAATGACATCGGTTTTCCGGTTTGTCGCCAACTACTTCCGCATTTGGGACCCTGTCAGTCTTCCTATCCAGTTTAACTGGTCCACCCCTGACATTCCCTGACTCTCCTTCAGTTGTCCCACCAAAAGATCCGAAAAGTCATGCTTTTATAAAACAACAATCCTGAAGGTGTTCAAAGAACTCCGAATATGATCCGAAGTGGCTTGATGGAGCAAACATGACATCTCAAGCCACTGCTTCACGCCAAGCAAGTAAAGTCATGTCTGACACATTTCTTAAGAAAAAGTGGATCCTTTCAACATACAGCGGCCGAATACAAATGCTAACAGCACATATTCAATGCCTTTGAATACCTGCAAATGTCAACCTCTGGAAGACCCAACCGGACCGGTTGAGCATGGCTGGCAGAAAGAGCTTGAAATGAAAATGCAAACGAGCAATCAATCCAGGGCATTGAAGGGTCCAATTCATACACAGTCGGGGAATTCGGACTTGGGAAAGCGATGCTGTCACAGAACACAGGGCGGCAACCCAAACATGTGCATCTGCAAGACGCTTTGGCAACTGGATTCACTTGATCCACTCACAGCTCAGAACAGTCGTTCTTGCAGAGGTCGGATACAGGACGCATTCACAATTTGGTTTCACATGTTCCAACAAAGATCACAACTACAGTGTTTGCCATTCAACTGAACTTGATCCCAAACGATCCCCCAACTTTCGTCTTGAGTCCCATGAGGCTTGATAGATATCTGCAGTGTTTCGGACTTATTCGTTTGGATTCAATTTTGAGGTTGCGGCTCCGACCAGAAAATTCGGCGAGAAATGAAACAAACAAATCTGGATGCAAGCATCCTGCATGTGAATGTGTCTGACACCTCTTCGATCACCTTACATTGTAGAGAAAACCCAATCTAAAATAGATTCCAGGTCCACGTGTGACTTGCGACCTGCTGTCAGTTCAATATTTTGGAACCCAAACGACGATCTCTGAAAATGTGCTGAAAGAGTTCAAGTAAATCTCTTAAGATTGTTTAAGACTACGCATGACTACGCGGTGTGTGCTGTCGGAATCGGTTGCGTTGATACTAAATTATGGTCCTTTAATTGCCAGGACAACCCGGAAACCTTACGACCCTGGCGTTTGGGCAAGATGGATGCACGGTGAGCACCATGCCTTCTCTATGCTCCAGTCTTCTCGTCGCTATCTGTTCTCGGCTCCAGAAAGGATCGGCGCTGGCGGAAGTCGAGCTTCTGTGCATCCTTTTACGCCCAAATAAGCGGACGTCGAGGGGAATCTGTCGGATTCCGGAGCTGTTGAAAGCAAAAACGGAAGGCTTTTGAACACGTTGAAAACGTCAATGTCTTTTGTTAAAAAATCAAGGTGTTCATATATATATATATAGTCTTGAAAACACTTGGACTTTTTGTTGGCTTAGTTTTGAAATAGATCCTGCAACAGTTTGGCAGCTATGTCTTGGCGACAATTCCGGCCAGCAAAGAAATTTAAAAAGGTTTGTGGCCTATCCCGTCTACTGCGCGGTGAACGCCCGTCAGTGCCTAAGGCCTCGGCCACGATGAATCCGGATGTCCAAGAAATGTTGGATGTGTTCATTTTCCATGCAGCGTTTGTTGAGGCCCCTGCCATCCCTTGTTCGCTTGGTCAATGACATAATTTGCTACATCCTGCATGGAAATTGCCACAAGAGTCCCAGTCCGCTTGACGTGCTTCAATCTCACCGTCTCCATTAATAAATGCCATTTTGCAATAGGATGCAATAGGTATACGCTACGCAAACCACACAGCAGGCTTTTGTACCTCAAACAAATACATCATAATTACCACAACCGCTTTATCCCAAAGTGCCTCGATATCATCAGGACCCAAACGCTCTCCGAATGCCGGCATTGCATTCTTTCCATTGGTGACCTTTAGTGGGAGATGGAGCGAGAAACATGGAGACAACGCTTCAGTAAACTTGCAAATCTAGCTGCAATGTTTCACAACATGCCGGATCAGGGAAAATCTGTTTGTCCACTTTGTTTGAATGTGTGATGATGCATATGGAAACATCAACGCACACCCGAATAACATTGTACCAGCCTGATACTTGATTCTCTCGACATCATACATTCCATACCTGGAAGGGCAGGGAACAAAGTCTGCGACGACATGGATAGTATTGAGGCTTTCCTGCTGTATCTTGTTTCCCTGTTTCCTTCGTTCAAGGATTTTCAATGATTTTCACATGTCGATGTTCAGTGCGTTGAGTGGAGTGGTTGGTGGCACGTCTCCAAGGCATCTTTCTTCAGCTTTTTGTCTGGCTGCACGGCATTGTTTCCGCCAGCATGGCAGGCTGCACCTGGGGCTCCAAGGAATCTCTGTCTTTTCTTTTTTTCACACGCTATTTTGCTTCGAGTCTTCACACCTGGCGCTTGCCTTGCGATTGAGGACAGCACAGTTTGCTAAGAAAATGCCCTGGCCGTTCCTAAAAAAGACAAACACGCTGGAAATACAACATGAATCAAGTAGACAATAAACAACCTGTAGGCAGCACAATTGTACTTTGTTCGAACGCACTCAGCTTGGAACTGGAGATCTGCTGCCAGTGCTGGAGCTCCCGCCAAAAAAAGGCCCAAAGCTATGCCACACAGCAAGCCGGCGCCGCTGCCTGCCGTCTCAGGCGGCTTGGCCGGCGCCGGCAGCTCGGAGTGGCCACTTGGTCGGAAGCCAGGCTGCCTCAGCGTCGGCTCATGCTTCTTTGGCTCCTGGCGATTCCAAAACGGCGCTTTAGATCGGCTTCTGAGTATTCCATGATGAGATCATGAATAACGACAAGCAAACAGAACATAATACTCAAACTCAAACCTTTTGTTTGAGTCTCTCCCTCCCTCCCTCCCTCGCTCGCTTGCTCTCTTCTTTCTTTCCTTCTTTCTTTCTTTCTTTCCCTAAAGGACACGGGACATGGATCTCGCATCCTCAAAGGAGGTAGGGGAAGCGGGAAGCGGCTGGTAACTGCTGAAATAGAGCACCGTCGTAGCTCTAAAGAATTCAAACTCCACATCTTCCCGACGATTGAATATGACTCCGCTCAGTCTGCCCATCCTGGACCGGGACAAAAGCGTGGCCATGATAGACCACCTGATGGAGTCAGACTCGTTGGACATCGCATGCGCACATCGCTTGTGTTTTCAGGTTGGTCCAAGGGACTGAGGCCAGAAAGAGCCGCAGGAGCCTCGACCTCAGCTGACTCAAACAGCTAAGCCATCTATCGCCACACGTATCTAGATCATCCAGAATCCAGATCATTGAGATCCCGACATGGGGGCTCTGTCAAACAGCTGGCTCGTGCCAAGATGTCGGAAAGTGAAAGCCGGAGCTTGCAGTCTGCAACAACGAATCTCGAAAGCAATGGCCTTACATGGCCTTACAATGACTGGAAAACAAAACGAGCCACGCTACTTTTGACCGTGTCGTCCCGTGCCATCAGCGCTGCTCAAGAGTTGGTATCACGTTGCCGTTGGCAAACCCTTTTGTGGGGCAAGCCGCCAAGCAATGGTAGCTCAACTTGTCGGCCTCTTCCACCACTTACTTCCGCTGACAAATTCTTTCCCTTCAAACTTTAAACTTATATCATCTTATATCTATGTCAATTTCTGTGTCAAGCCACTTCACTCGGCTAGAGCACTCCGTCATGTGTTTTGCCAAACATGGTACACAAAACAAAAGAAGAGTACAACTAGTACGGATCTAATCAGGTTTGGTGTGGTTTGGCCGAAATTGCGGCCCTTGAGCGCTTTGGGCTCAAGATTGACCGACGCAAGGCGGGACTGCCATGGGCTGGCACGGGGCGATATGAAGCGTCGGCATCACGTCGGCACCGCTACATCAAGGTTCTGTGCGAAAAAAATCGGCTGCAAAAAACGAGACTTTTCTATCTTGCTCAGAATGTTGATCAATGGATGTGTATATGTATACACTCAAAAGTCGTGCAAAAAGTGCTGCCATTTTCATGCCCTACAATCTGAGCCACACCAAACAAAAATTTATGCAAGATTCTCTCCATGAATCTCGCATGTCAAACTCCAAATGAAGATGACTGAGAATCCATGACGCCTCTTTATTTCAGGCCTGCAATGATTGACAGTGACCCGGACATTTCGGCCAAGGGTGCTAGGGCCCCTTGGCAGGCCTCTTTTCTCCTCCACAAAATGTCATTGGATGTCATTGGCATCTTTTGCCAGCTCACTGGGCCTTTCCTTCTTTCTCTCTCTCTCTCTCTCTCTCCGCGTTCTCTAGACTCGAACATGAATTTGAAGACCTTGCACGGTGGTCATCCTTCACGCTCGCGATGTTGCCCAGCAATTCTTGAACTTGCAACGTGATCTCAGGCGTACGGCAATCGTGGAACGCTTAGTGCGGGCACCAGAACACTCGCCAAGTGGACTCCTTGAAGACTTCGACAATCGTGTCTTTCACAAAGTGATTTTGCGCCGACCGTGATAGTGTTGCAAACCTTCCAATTTCCAATCCGGATCGAAATATCTTCCGACTCCAACTCGAAAGTCCATAGACACTCTCAGGAAGGTTGTGGAATTTGGAGGAGCATAATGCCTCACCAATGTGCCATGGAACATGGCAATCTTCCCAACATCCAAGCTCAGCGGATGGAAATCGTTGGCATTGGGTTTTGACTCAACCCAAAGCGTTGTCTTGGTGCGGTCGTAGTTGGTCAGTGGCATCCAGAAATTGACTTCCCCATCCTGAGCGCATAGCCACGCCAACAAAATTGTCTTGCTAATTGGACACAGCGACGGAACATGTATAGAAGAATCAGTTCAATCCTCCTATGATCCCTTTGCCGTTTTGGTAGGCCCTAGGAACCCCATTCATATATACCCTACCTACCGAAAAGCGCCCAGGAAGACGATAAAAAACTGAAGATGTGTATAGATAGATAGATAGCTAGCTAGATAGCTAGCTAGTTAAGTTAAATAGATAGAAGTTTAATGATATTTACATATTACTAATTCGTGGCAAATCCAAGAGCCACCTCAAGATGTGGTGCTGCTTGTGGGTCACTGTGCGCACTGCTTGAACCTCGTTGCAAAAGACTCGAGGTCAGGGACCCTTTCGCGGGGCAAGAGCAAAGAAACAAACGCCTTTGAGCGCCAGGCAGCTCTGCGTGTTGGCAGGAGGAGGGGCGGCCGAGGATAGCTTGGGAGCTTTAGGAAAACGATGGCTAGTGGTGGGGAGCCTAAATCATCTTCCTTGGAGTCAGATTTAAGCTGGGTGAAGCTGATTTGACTGAGTGGCCCAAAAAGGTGGAAACCTTGGCGCAACTATGGCCAACAGAACATGTACAGCCGCTGAAGATTGCTTTGCGGTGTGAAGGCTCAGCATTTCAACGTGTGTCCGGATTGGGTCCCAAAGTATTGAAGGTCAGTATCTTGAAAGGCGAGATGGCCATTGTGAAAACGCTCGGCGCTCGGGGGAAATCAAGACCGGAAGGCAAGTTTGACCGTTTTGATCGCGCAATCTTTGGCGCAACTCAGCGACCAGATGAGATGCGTGAATCATACTTGGCCAGACATGACCATTAACTTGAAGAGTTGATTGGAATGAAGGTTGGGATGGAGGAATTCCGTGCCTACATCTTGCTACGCAATTCATCGCTGAACTCGGAGGACAAGAAATGCTTGATCGTGGAGTCGCAGTGTTCACTGGAATATCGTGACTTTGTGGCCAGCCGCAAACTCTTAGGCGATCGCTTTTTCCATGAAGTCCACGCAGGCAAACAGCGCAACCCCCAAACCAAATGGCGTGACGCCACAGCTTTGCCCACGGAAAAGGCACCCACGTTGTCGCCGTCCCATCAGTATCCTGGGAAGAGGGGATTGGATCTGTTGGAGACTATATTGAAGACAGTGTGATTGAACAAATCACTGATCGAGTTCTCACAAGCACCAGACTCCGCTTTGGTGGGACCATCACGCCTGTTCATCTCTGTCACGCTGGGTTCAGAATACCTCGAAAGGCTGAATTTGTTTGGCGGCTCGCATCTGAGGCCAAGGCCCCCAGCCCAGCGCCAGCTGCGTTGGCGTAGCGCAAGTTGGCGTGGTTGGCGCGAATGCTGGAGAAAGCCCAAGTGTTGGCCTCGGTCTCTTGGGAGGGTCGTCTGTTGTTGGACTTGGTTTGCAGCTGTTGACCCTTGGAGGAATCTGGTGAAGACATGTAGCCGTCCATTGATTTTTCTCGGTGAGGGAGTTTGTGGGTCAAACTTGTCAAAACCGTCCGTGCCCATATGCGCCCCTGGCACGAAACAAATCTAGCAAGCTGGTCACAGGGAGACGTTTCCGTGGTGTTCAAGTGTGCTTTGCTCGCGCCCAGGAAGTCCTGCAGTCCGATCCTTGCTATGCGGGATAGCTGCCCTTTGCACTCGGCATCGCCGAAGCTTCCTTCTCCTTCTTGGGGCGCTTTCTCGCTGACTCCTTCTCTTGGGGCTTGGGAGGGGCGCTGCTGTCAGTATAGCCCGGGCGCCGCAGGGCGCTTTGCGCTTGCAGGTTTCACCTTTCTTTTCCTTCTGGCGCTTCCGCTTCGGGACCTCTGACAAGTCAGTTGGCCGAAGGGTTGCTGCGTCTTGGGGTTCTGCTGCGCGTCGTGCTTCACAGCTGAAGCCAGGGCGTGACCGAAGAGCGCCAAGTCCTTGCAAGGGGTTTTACCCAGCCATTCTTGCATCTCAGGCGCCCACTGTAGATCGCGCCGGCTGCCTGCCGTGGACGCCACCCCAGCAGGGTCTAACCCGTAGATATGCGCGCCTAGCCTGAGATGACCGTGTTGGTTGACACCGTACGCACTTGCATGGTTTCCGCACTTGCATTCTTTTTGCAAAAAGCTTTGAATCTGAGGTAACCACGCTTCGTCGCCTCGCTGTTGACGTTGGGCGCTGCTTCGCCAGGCGCTGGTTGGAAAGCGTGATCTGCAAGTACTGCTGGGCATCCCAGTGGAAGTTCTACGTTTTAGATTTCCCTGCGCCGTTACGTTTATGCTTCCTATCCTTTGCGCTCGCCCCCTTGATGTTGCTTCCACTCTTTCAAGCACGCCCGGCACTTAGCCGACCAACCTGTGTACCTGTAATCAGGTGCTTCGAGAACGCACTTGCCTTGATCTCTACCTATGAGTGTTCCTTTTGTAGCAAGGGCTTGACAGAAGCGAGGCGTTTTGGTAGAACATCTGGGTTGATCCGGCGATCCGTTTTTCTTTCGGCTGGTGGAATCTCCTGGGGTGCCTTCTGTAACATGCTTGCGCTCAAAAAGAGCTCGCCGAACTTCGTGGCACCCTTCACGCGCTCATAGTTCCCGCACAAGTTGAAGCAATTATCCGCGACGCAGACCGCGTGACACCTCGCGTGGGTCGCAATTGGATCACCGCTGGCAAAACCGTTGACCAGCTGCAAGACATGTTGCCGGAGAAGGTTTTGTGGACATAGATGTTTGCAGGGGCATCAACCGAAAAAGAATACCCCCAGAGCAAGTCACAAGCCAGTCATGTCCATGTCGCCGTGCCATGGGACGTAAGAGGGATGATCAATCAGGCGTGCTAGAACCTGAATGGGAAAGTGGGATGCGCTAATTCGAGTGGGAGCCCCCGCCACATTGCAAGACCATTCTCGATCAAAGGAAGCCAGTGATGGTCATCAAGCAAAACTTTCCGTATCGCAGGCTCCGGAAGAGCCTGCAGCCAATCGTCCATGTCCGGCCCCTAAACCAGCCGAACCGTATGAGCCTGTGTCGTCAGGACAACCAGCTCAGGAACCAAGTTCCATGTTCCGAGCGTTGCCCGAGAAGATACAAAACCAGGTTGTCAAGATCTATAACGACTTTAGACACCCGGGCCACCAGCGCATGAAAGCAGCATTTCAATGTGGGGGTTGGTCAGAAGCTGGGGTCCAAGCGTTAAATTGTCGTACTTTGCGTGTGACACGCGCCGGGAACAAGAAGCGCCAAAGATAGCCGGCCAAGCTCATTCAGCAGTTCGAAAGGATTTCAATGATTTGGTCTCTTTCGATGCCGTCCAATGGAAAACCCCCTAGACCCGTAGTGGGGGGTGTTGTCATTTCATTGAATCTGATTCCGCCACCAACATGTTGCCACAGCCTTTGAACAGGGTACAGCGCTTATCAACTGTTTCCAAGACGCATGGATTTGTGGGCAGGTAAGCAGGTAATATCCGATAGCTGCAGGGAAGCAAATAGCCAGTCATTCTGTGAGCTCGTGCAAGAACATGACATCCGTGCAGATACCATCCCTTCGCGAGCTGGCAACTCGACCGCGCCGAAAGAAATGGGGACATCCTGAAAAACACGTGGTCGAAATATCGCATCCTGTTCGAAAGCTTGAAATTCAGTCAAGCTCTCCTTCATTTCGCGCTTTGTCCAAGCATGCAGGAAAAAGCCCAAAACTCTTGGTGCTCGGCAAAAGCCGCCATGCGCCGAGCAGCATCATGGAACGTGATCAAAGTCATCATCAGTCGCCTACACAGAGGGCAGCAGGTTCAGACAGCAAGCTCTCAGGAGAGAAGCTGGCCGAATTGCGTACGTCAAGGCCGGCCAATGCTCCATACTAAGGAAGTCACGTCCTCATGTAATGATATATACCACCGGTGATTGGGCGACGTATGGGAAATCTAGCCAGGCAGAAGAAGGCGAATGGTATGCATAGGCCGGGTGGTCATGGTTGAACACAAAGCCATTTGGCTATCTGAGTCGCATCTCACACGGCTACACCGGGTAGCTGTTCTTGAACGTGTGAGACTGTTGTCAACCAACGAACAGCTGATGGCCCGAGGCCTCCAAGACTTTCGGAGCCCGGTGAAGGGTTTGCACTGTTCCTCCCTGAAGTCGTTGCGTCGTCAATGCCTGCGTAGACCAGCTTTGATAGGCACAGGCCTTGATAGGGTCAGCAGCAAAAAGGCAAAAGGTGGAGGTACGTCTCAAAGATTTAAAACAACCCAAAAGAGCAGAACTTGAGGAGGCAAAATCCAAGGAGATCGAGCAATTGGCCCCGACACAGACCCAGGACATCCCTCCCATTGAGATACCCCGTGAACAAAGAAAAGGTCAACAACAGTCAGCAACCCAGCAAGAGACACAAGCACCATGAATCCCGGCGTATTTACTGCAAGCCAAAATACCGATTAGGGGATCTCTTAGTAGCCTGCTAGATGATGCCAAGAGACATGCCAAGATCCAGATCACGATCCAAGCCGTTCCGCCCGAGGAAGTTAGGTTCCTGTCGTTCTCGGATGCAGCGTTCGCAGCCCGTGAAAGAGCACACTCCCAGCGAGGAACGTTTACTTTATCCACCGCGCAAGAAGTAGAAGACGCAAAGGGGTTAAAGGTGAGTCCTCTAACGTGAGCTCTCGCAAGGCCCACAGGGTTGTATCAAGTATGTTGACCAGCTGAGCTGGGTCTGGGTGCTTGTGGAATGGAGAAAGCCCACCGAAACTCTGACCAAGTTGTCAACAGCTTTGCTGCAAGAGCCTGCGCGACCTTCTTCCAAAAACAGCTGCCCCATCCTGTTCAGAATACTGAGCCCTCCTTGAAGCTCTAGTGATCAAAGACTCAAAAAAGACTCGAAGAAGGTATTGTAAAAATGGGTGCGCGGTGCAGCACGGATGGCCGATGCATTGACCAAAGATATGGGCGCTGAAAGTTTTGAGGGTCGAATGGTGCCAGCAATAGATGCTTGTGGGAATATGGGCCCGGATCCAGTCGGCGTCCCAACCCGACACGCAATTGTTGTGAGGGTGTAGCCTGCGAGATTACAGAAAGTCAAAGCACACCAGGACCCTTTCGAACTGCCGTGTCCTAAAGACGTGAAACTTTGGTGAAATTTTGTCAGTTTAAAGATTGAAGGAAGATCGTTTTTAGCGGTGTTCTAATTCGTGACAAATCGGAACCAGCTCAAGATGTGGCGCCGCTTGTGGGTCACTGTAGGCAGTGCTCGAATCTCGTTGTGTAAGTGGTGTGTGGGGTCGTGGCCGACCGTCGTTGAGGCTTGGTTGAGGACAAACTTCTATAGTTTGAGGTGAGCAGAGAAACAAGCGCCTTTGAGCGCCAGGGGCCGCGGTGTGTTGGGAGGAGGAGGCCAGGGGCCCACACCAGTGTGCAAGACACAACATATACATATGTGTACATGTAATTATATAGCAATTTCAATGTACTGTTAACATACTTTTAGTTTTGACAACAAGTTGCCTGGTGACCAAACTCTGCGTCGCGGTGAAGGCGTCGAGGGCGCTCACTGGGTCCAGGCTGCAAGCGTAGGGTGGGAGGAAATTGGCAATAGAAAGCAATAGGACCATCCTGCCACAAAAACCTGCCTCACAGCCACATGGCTGCGTATGGCGACATATGGCTACTTCTGCTTACTTTGTTTATTGTTGTGGTTTAGTTGGCTTTGCTCGCCGGCACGTCCTGCTTCAGCTTTGTCTTCAAGTTGGGACACACCACCTCTTTAAGCAGAAGCTCGTAGCACGCCAAGAACTCTGAACTGTCCAGGATGCATTGCCTCAACAACAGATAGAACCGTCTGAAAAAACAAAGTCGGATAGAGAGACCACAAAAATCTCCCAATCTTTCCAACAAGCTGCCTCCAGCCTCAGTTGTTGCAGTTCAACCAAGGACATTTCATTGCGATGACATACTGCGCTTCCTCTTGCTTTGGACCCCCTAGGTTTCTTGGAGAAATGCTCCTATCCATACTTTGGGTTTGCATCAGGATTTCTACAACTACAGCAATGCTTAGTTCGTGTTGGGCAGGTCATCCGTTATTATAAAGTTTTATATTTCCAGAAAACCCAGATCACATTTGACTTGTATTGTGCACCAGAATCTGGGTTCTAGAGGCATAACAGTAGCCAGGATCCATATTTATTATACAATCGCAAAAAGAAAAAACATAAAAGCAATTTTTTTACTTCGAGTGATCCCCACCATGACATTTCAATCATTTGTCTTGATGCCATAGTGAGGAGCATGTTGCCATGGTCGTGAGTATTGTAGTTCTCGATTTTGCTTGTGGGTCCTCGGGTTGTGTGCTGTGGTTGTGTGTTGTGCTTGTGGTTGTGTGTTTGTGGTTGTGTGTTTGCGATTGTGTTTGTGGTTGTGTGCTTGTGGTTTTGTGATTGTGTGTTTGTACTTGTGGTTGTGGTTGTGTGTTTGTGGTTGTGTTTGTGGCTGTGTGTTTGTGGTTGCGTGTTTGTGGCTGCGTGTTTGTGGTTGTGTTTGTGGTTGTGTGTTTGTGGTTGTGTGTTTGTGGTTTTTGTGTTTGTGGTTGTGTGTTTGTGGTTGCGTGTTTGTGGTTGTGTTTGTGGTTGTGTTTGTGGTTGCGTTTGTGGTTGTGTGTTCGTGGTTGTGTGTTTGTGGTTGTGTTTGTGATTGTGTGTTTCTGATTGTGTTTGTGGGGGAGGGGTTGTGGTTATGTGTTTGTGGTTGTGTGTTTGTCGTTGTGTGCTCGTGGTTGTGTGTTTGTGATTGTGTGGTTCTGGTTGCGCTTGTGGTTGTGTGCTTGTTGTTCTGTTTGTAGTTGTGTGTTGAGGTCCGGCGGGGAATACTGGGCGCGGATGGTCGTTGGTTGAGGTCTGGCGGGGAACGCTGGGCGCGGATGGTCGTGGTTGAGGTCCGGCAGGGAACACTGGGCGCGGATGGTCGTGGTTGAGGTCCGGTGGGGAACACTGGGCGCGGATGGTCGGCCTTGAGGTCCGGCAGGGAACACTGGGCGTGGATGGTCGTGGTTGAGGTCCGGCAGGGAACACTGGGCGTGGATGATCATGGTTGAGGTCCAGTGGAGGAGGACGAGGAGGAGGAGAGGGAGAAGGAGGAGCCGGAGGAGGAGGAGGAGGAGGAGATGGGGCTGACATAAAATCTAACAACCTTCACCTGACAGGTGGGGAATGAAAGCAGAATGATAGCAAATGAAAGCAACATGAAAGCAACTGAAATGAACTCCAGAGGTGACTATTATTGCGGCTACCCCTAATTATTACGAATCTAACATTACATACAACTCTATGCGCATCGGTGACGAGATTTGTGAAAGACCAAAGGCCGACTTAGCCTCGAGCGTTTCTCATACTTGAAGGAGCTGAAGACTTCCTGCGACTTTTTGAAGCTGGAGCTGAAAGAAGGGCGATGTGAGGGTTCTTTAGGGCAGCTTCTTCTGTGAGGGATGGGAAACACATTTTTCAAGAACCATGAACCATGCATGGAAGAAACGGTTTCTAATGGCTGATGCAATGGTCTGTTGCACTAACGAAAGGCATATTTCACGCACATGCTGTATGAGCCGCCTCCTTGGCTTGAAAGAGCTCAAGTTCATTGCTACTTCCAAAACATCCGAAGCCAATCTTCGGCCCAGCCCAGTGCAGGAGAGCCGCGACGTGGCTTCGGAAGTCATACTTTGTTTTGTCATACCTTTGTTAACTGAAGAACACACTTGGTGATATGCCAACAACATCATAGGTGTGTTGAAACACAAACGCAAACGAAAGACGAACACCCTTCTGAAATCTTCTGAATATCCAGGTAAATTGTGGTAAATTACGGTATTCCCCCTTGAATGCGTGAAATTTTGATCCGACTTGACCTGAAAGCTTGACAGCAGGAGACTGAATGGACGAAGCAAAGCGAAAAGGCGCAAAAAGAGGCGAGTTCCAACAGCTAAACCGAGCGCGAGAGAAAACGAAGTGTGGAACGCACATTAAAGTTGTTTTGATCGAAATATGTGCAAAAACATTCCTGTTTTGTCTTACAGTAACTTTTTGAACATTGGGTTCTAAACCTTCAGGGCAGTCAATCCGGACTAGCGAATAGCAAAAATACATGCGGATTTGGACTAGTGGCTCCATCTGCTCTTCAGCGCGTAATGCCTCCGGAAGTTCTTCTTCAACTTGAGGCTTTGGGGACAGTAACCTGACAAGAGCTAACCAAGGTAATTTTGGGATTGCAACCCAGTCTTTAAAGTATTCTACAGCTGCTTGGGCGTGGGCAACCCATGCCCCTACTGAAGGCGACTAAATTCACGCGGGGAAATCCACTCGTTGAATTGACAAGAAAGAATCCTTCAAACTGCTGTCAAACTTTGTGATTCGAGCAAAGACTTGAGACCAGGAAAACGACAAACAAATGTGCTTTCAGTCGCTTTCAGTGTGGACTAGCAAGGGTTGCATGTGGCATTGAACATCAAGTCCAAGCAACAACATTCTCTCCCCCAAGGATGCTGGAACACCAAGCTTGGACAGCAACTCGTATCCTGCCACGCAACATAAAAAACGTGCACCAACTTTTGTGGGAAGGGCGGAAACATGCGGGAACAATTTTCTTTGATTGCAAACTCTGACTTGCTGGTCCTTCTTGGCCTTTCGACTCTTCAATTTCCGCAACGTCTCTGCCTTCTGAAACTTCTGCCATATAGAATGATGACTCTGCTGACTACATCGGTGATAAACGTGGCTGACCTCAACAGCCTCCTCCGCTTGAGCCAAGCAACCAGGTGATAATGCGAAGCTTGCCACACCAGTGCCACTTGAGTCTTGACAGCAGCTGATGGATATCCACGGCTGTGCAGAACATGTCGCAAATAAGTAAGGTACAAAAATCTTGCCTCTGCTGCGTAATTGTCTGCTTGGTTTTGGCGCGGCGCTTGCAGTTCAGGTTCGGTCAAGGTGTTTAAGGTTCTTGTTGGCCAATAGCCACAATTTGCTGGCTCAACCTGTCGGAAAACGGCTCTGGCTCTGCGTGATCCGGCTGGCGTCCGGCTGGCGTTCAACTATTTTTGAGGGGTACGAAAAAAGGAATGATTGAAGGTGCGCTGTTCGGCAGTGCAGTGGAGCGACGTTGACTCTCCACCAAACTACAAGCCGTTCGCGCACGACATGGCGCCAGAGTGTGCAATGCTGGCGGGAGATCCGCCAGCTGGTTTACGGGAGGTGTTAGAAAGGGCCGGCTTCTGGGCAACAATAGGGTGGTAAACCACCCTGAAAGAAGGGCCGGGTAAGTGGCGACGCCAGCCGACCTTACCAGATGCGATTGGCAGGGCCTTCGGCAGGCACAGCCAAGCGGGAACTACGAGGCTCTTCTCCGCTAATTAGCTAGGTCTGCGCAACAAAACAACGATGACAATGATAGTGATCGTGCTGGTGGTGGTGATAACGGCGGCATGTTGATGGTGACAATGCATATATATATAATATAGTTATATGTGTATATATATATATTTACTTATATTGTTTTGTCAAAAAACAGCCTGCAAAGGAAAGGATATGTAATCATCGTGGATAGAAACTTCAATGTCAAGAAACTCGTCAAACCTGAGAAGTGAGGGGGCGAATGCCAAGTAGGCATGCGGTCACTTCATTTTGTGGCTGCGAGCAGGTGCAGCGCAAAAACCACGGTCTTGGACGCATTTTTGACGAACTCACCCAACAAATCACCTTTTCAACGAAGGGCGCTGGCATCATTTCAACTTGCAAAAAACAACACTTCTTCACCAAGAACTCTGGCGTCGACGCAATCTTCAGCCGCGCACAAGCAGAAACGCTGTCACCACCGCCGCCACCGAAACCACTTCTGAGCAAAAAAGAAAAACCGGCGCACCCGTTCCCACACAATTCGTCCAAAATCACCACTGTGTACGCCACGACGCCACCCGTAGTGTCCAACAATGAGTACTTTACGGCCTTTTCCCATCAAAAACACCGTTGTTGTTTATGTTTACGCGCGTTGAACTAGATTTGGCCTCTTTCATGCATGGCCTGAATCAAAACCACACACAAAGCACTGTAAATTACAATGTCTTTCCACGCTCGCTTCGACAACTAATCTCAAGCAGCTGCAAACAACACAACGTTATAGGAGTTTTTCGACACCAAATCTTTCAAACGCGCTGCTATTTACGCAGCTTCACCAACCTTAGCGTCCAAAAACATCACTTTTTTTGCTGTTCTCCCACTGAACCTCTTCAAAGCACTGCTATTTACATCTGTTTACGATGTTTTGGCCTCTTTCAGGGCTTGAATCGACCAAACAAACACCAAACCACTCTAAATTACAGTCAGTGTTTTTCCACACTCAAGCCGGCAAATTGATCCAGAACACTCCAGAAAACGCCACCATGGCCTTCCACAAGGCTCTCTTCCAGCAGGAGCTCGCTAAAAAGGACCACCTATACAGACCTTCAGGCTGGCTTTCTTCAAAGCAATAGCGCGTAGCTACAAGTATGAAGTCTTTGCGGGGTTGATGAGTTACAGTGAGTTCGGCCCAGCCAGCCCCTGCCGCTTGCTTCGGATGAACCGGACATTACTGTCAATGATTCATGATCGTATTCCCAACTGAAGCTGCTCAATATGACATCCTGTCTGCAAACCTTTTTCTCACGCGCCAGCCCTTTCCTTTTGGCCCTTTCTCAGGAGGTGGTAGCTATAGAGCAAATTCCTCAAATTTCTCGAATGTAAATGTTCGAGTGCTTTGAAGCCAGGGTTTGAAAGCCAAGGCACCCCAGGACAATCAGCAGCAAGCTCACAGCAAATCGCCAATGAAATGCCTGGTTCAAAAAAACAAGACAGCGAACTTTCATGTTTGCAGGGACTGTTAGGCCAAGCTAGGACAAATACTTGCCTCCTGCTCCAGAAGGGGTAGTGGCAAGCAGAAAAGCAAAGCGCTAAGAGGCAATGCCACCTGAGTGCTGGTTGGGTCATCTGAAACTGTGCATGTCTCCATTTCGATCAAGACATGCTTACTGTCATGCTTACATATGTTATGACAAGACATGGTGCCGAGACACCACATTCGCCAACACTGTCGCAGCAGCTGATGTTCGTTGCACAAGCATCAGCGCTGTGATGCTGAGGGAAACCTGCACACCAGACATCAATCCCGTTAGGCAAATAGACGTTCAGGAGAACTGTGTTTGAGACCTTTCCAATGAGGTCTGGACATTGGCCATAATGTAGAAAAGCGTCAGCGGAAGCACCGATCTTTGAAGCATTGCGTGAAGGCCAGCTTGAACACAACTCCTGTGTCCGGGAAAGCCTTCTCAAGCTGAGCAAAGAATCACAACACGTACAAAGACTTCTCACGTGGACCGCCAATCCTCAAGCCAAGGCCGTGCGTTAGCTTTTGGAAGAAAGGCCATGCTACAATCTGGACCACACAACGGCTGCTTGTCCCAGCAGCCAGAAATAAGGCTGGATCCTGAGACATTGAAGGGACCACAACTGGATTGAAGCATCGAATTGATGCAAAAATGCCAGACTGTTAGACTGTTGGAAAACCCGAACCGGCAATCTTGCAAATGAGGTTCGAAAGGAAGATTCTCTGGCTCTTCACAGCCTGAGTAACTGTGTCAAGGCTTGCGCGGCACACTACGTGAAACCCGCCTTGACAGACTTTGTACCTCGTCAAGACCACCTCCTTCAGAACCATTGCCTGCGTTCTCCCAAAGTGTCTTGATTGTACAGGCTTGACATGGATTAACTCCAAAGCTGAGGCACTGCTGCTTGAAGCCTCAAATCACACCAACACACCGAACAACTTCACAGATACCTCTCAAAACTGCACAAGCGAGGACTCAAAATGGTCAAGTATGGCGCTTGACAAAAGCGGAACGAACTAGGAACTTGACCAAGCCACCCATAAGCGGCTACGCAAAGTGTCACAATTGCAAAGGATCCGGAGCTTTGTGGGAATGATGTGAACACAGCCACGCCGGCTAAGGCAGCCTTGCAGTCACTTTCTGTTTCTGTGACTCCTCAGGACCCTTATACGCTAAATACAGGAAAGCAATGCGAATCATTGCGTAAACTTTTGTTTTATTGATTTGACCTTCCCTGAGGACTCGTGACACGATTGCAGAACTTTAGACCGTAGGTACTTTGATTATCTTTACAATTAAACAGTTGTTTGGGTGGGCAAAGCCTTTCTAAGGGGAACCCAGCTGTTACGCACGCGCGCTGGTTCTTACAGCGCCGATCTTTCGCCGCAACTGAGCCTGAGCTGTTCTCTTCTGCCGGAACTTCACAAGTTGAGATTTAACTCCGCAATGTGTTTTCATTCAAAACCAGGGATATGAGACGAGACCTTTGCTGATTTCTTTTGTGTTCGGTTTGCTTACGGAAGAGAGAGATGATCTCCGTCCAGTCATCAGCCACCTGAAAGCCGAAGCCACTGCTCAAACCAGTGCGACTGACCTTCTTCAATTGTAGGCAGATGTGGTGGAAAGGCTTTGCGCAACAAGTTGTTCTTTCGTTTTTTCAACTCCGCTTTCTGCACATCTGCAAACAACTGTTCAAAGCTCCCAACCTTTCCAGCTTTACAGATGAACTTGGACATTCATTGTGTGGAAGCACAGCGCTGCTGAGAAGCATCACAACCGCAAAGAACACCAAGCAGTTCAAATCGAACGGAATAGAGACAAGAAAAAGGATAAACCGATGCACGAGCACAGAATCATCGAGAAGACATGAAGCTAAGCCAAACAAGAAAGGCAGCAAACCACCCAAGATTTCAGATTCAGAACCAAGATAAATCCAATTTTCACACCCTTATCAATTGGCAACCAATCTACATCACAAACAGGAACAAAGACAAACCGACGCGGTGGTGCGCTTCAATCCTTCGTGGACCATGTGGGAGTGTGAGGGAACTGAACTCTAAGACCTGGAGGACGGACAGCAAACATATCTGAAATTATACCAGCATAGAGAAGCTACTAGTAACAAGTGCATCGCTGCTAGTAACAAGAGCCTTACTACTAGTAACAAGGACGCTACTAGTAACCCCAAAGAGCTCAGTCGGCAAGGGCGGCCAGCCCCGTCGGAAAGCAACGAACAGCACGACAGCAGGACAACAGAAAGACGAAAGGAGGACATAAGGAGGACAACAAAGGAAAACAACCCGAACACACCAAGAGGACAAAAGAAGGACAAGCTGTGACCAGACAACCGCATGAGGGGAGCGTGCCAAGAGGAGAACAAGAGTAGCAAAGGAAGAAAGGGACGACGATGATGGGAAGAGTACGACCGGAGATCGGCTGGCAGCCGTGGCCAAAGAAGACACGAAGAAGGACAACAGCAGGACAACGGCAAGCAACAGAAGGACAAGAGAAGAGGAGGACACAGAGTTGGCAAGCGCGGCCAAAGGACAACAGCAGGACAATTGCAAGCACCAGGACACGGGAAGGACAAGAGGAGGACAAGACCCGGACACAGCGTTCAGGGGCGCGGCCAGCCACTGTGGCCAGCCCCTTTTTTCCCTAAGAGAGAACCCGAGAAAGACGTAAACTGGGGAAAATGGTTTTGTCTCCAGACCTTTAGGGTGCGGCCAAGAATACGTGGCAGTACGTGGGTACGGGAAATCGGAGGATGAGCGAGTTTCGTTCTGCACTGCAAGGAAGCAGAATGGGTCCACAAGTTCGAGTTTAGAGTGACAGCCAAGAGACAAATGCAAGAGGAGATACAAGGAGAGTCAAAAGTAAGCAGGGACTCAAGAAGGTTGCTCAATCGCAAGATGCCAAGCTTCCACCACACCAATTATCTGCACCGCGTCATAGCGCTTTCTCAAGAAAAGAATGCTCAGAACAACCTCACGACATCGACAGCATGAAAACGCATGAAAACCATGACGTGGACCAACTCGATGACATGCCAAGCAGCCGTGGACGGGATCAACGTTTGGTTCAACACTTGCACCAAACTTCCGGGTAATCGAGCAGCTGAATAGAAGACGAGTGGAAAGAAAGCACCCTCACCTTGGACGACTTCGCTTGGGTTCTTCAAAGACATGTACCGAAAAGCGAAGTCTTCGATATCTTATCTATTTAGATTGAACACATAAAGTTTTCAAAGCGAATTCCATTCCACAATGCTCTGAGTGCTGTGTTTTCCCTGAGCGCTGAACACAAACCAAAGGCAGCAATGAGCGCAGGGTTTCTCTTAGCAAAAGACCACAT